GGTTAATCCTGTGGTCATTCACTGATGTCATCAGTTCGTTATCATTTTCTGAGCAGCAGAAACGCAGGTTGCTTTCTCACAAGCGGCTCGGCCCGGCTCTGATACTACGTCTGTTGGTGGCTCAGAGGTGGGCTCTTTTTACCTCCCTTGCTGCTCCTGTGTTTTTTCTGAATGATCCGAGGAGGACAGTTAGTCCTGGACTAAGCTGTCTTATGAATGAGGATTCTGTGTCTTAAAGAACCACTTCTGACCTGAAGCAGGGATCTGTGTTGACTACAACACAAAATATGTTTGTTGTGTGATGATAAAAGACAGGAAAAKAATCAAACTAAAAGAGATGTTAAAGGGGACATGTCGTGAAAAATCCACTTTTTCTGCCGTTAAATACATTTAGTTGTGGACTTGGAGTCTGTAGGAGGCAGAAAAGATGAGTTTAGTCCCTGCTGGTGCTGCAGAGATGTCTTTATATTCTGTTTGAGTCAGATTTTAAACCTGATCAATTTTCTCTTTTTTATGATGTTTTCTGAACTTTTACATCAAACCATCTGTGACACAACTGCTAAATAAAGTCTGGACTTACTGACTACAGTTTGCTGATCTTCCTTCTTCTCTGGTTCTGGGTCAGACTCTGGTTCTGGCTCTGACTCTGGTTCTGGGTCAGACTCTGGTTCCAACATGGACAGGTGTTCTCTTGTTGACATCTTTTAATTCATTTGTAAATAAAAATGTTTCTTTGCAGAAATACAGTCATATTTCTACTATCAAACTGGAAGGAACCGGTTTGGAAGCTGGGGGGTGTGTGAAGCACCCCATTTGGATTTAAAGAGACAGCCTCAAAATGAGTTGAACTGAGACATGCCTCAGAAAAGGGCTTGTAGGGTTACAACAATGAAGAATTCAGACCAAAGCACTGCACATTCCACTTTCTATAGATCTCAACTGAAGTATTTAAATGTGAAAAGGAAAAACTTKAAAACATCATATGTCTACATTAAAGGCTGGTTTAGGGTCAGGGGTCTGTGTTAGGCTGTGGAAAAGACTGCTAAATGTTTGGAAGTCAATGCAAAGTCAATATGAGCANTATATATATTATCTGTCAGAAGAATCGAAAAGCTTAGATTTAATGTGACAACACTAAGAAGCTGAGCAGACAGCTGATGCTATCAGGCTGTCACTGCAAGTCTCTGTTGTGCTCTTTTTATGCTGCTTCTAGTTTTTAGCTAACATTCTCTTACTTTAGCGTTTCGCCTGTCTTTTGCTACTTTAAACTTTAATTAGCCAAAATGCTACTGTTAGCTTATAACTAGCTTTCGGCCATTTTAACTTTTGGCTAGACCTTTGTTCTCTCCAGMTAGCATTTTAGTGCTTTTAGTTTTTAGTTTGGCCTTTTCCACTATTTCCTAACATTTTGGTACATTTAACCAGCATTTTGATTACTTTAGCTTTAGCTAGTGTTTAGCTACTTTTAGCTTTTGGTTAACATTCAGCTTCTTTTCAGACTTTAGATTCTTCAGCAAATCTCATTAAATTCATTCAACACTCTGCGACCTGCTGATTATTAATATTAGCCTTATTTTAATGACATGTAAATAATGAAACATGAGTCTGTTCCACAGAAAGCTGGAGGCTGTCTCTAAGCTCTGCCTGTAGATGTTTGACACTGATGACCCACAGATGGGTCAGCTTGGCAGGCAGCAGAGTCAGCACAGGCTGAAGGTAAATATTCTTCAGTTAACTGCACCATCAGGCTGATCTGATGCAGTATGAATCAAAAAGCAGGTATTCTGGAGCATCATCTGAAACATTTTGGAGCATCTGTCTAACAGCTGGGAGGTATGCAGAAATAAACAGAATCTGCAGCACATGCAGAAAACCAGCTTCTGTTCTGACACACTTACCTACGCTGCATCTCCTACAGCCTTTAGTGTCAGGGATCTTCACAGACATGGCGAACTTCCTGTAGGTGGAGAGAATATGGTGAGTGAGAAGCAGCCCTGGCTGTGCAGGAGGAACAGAGAGCTTCCAACCTGTGGATGATTTTCTCAGTGAAGCGGCTGGTGCTCAGAGACAGGCTGCCGTGCTTCTTGTGCAGATGTCCTCTCTGTTCGAACAGAGCTGTCAGGCTGTGGGAGTACAGCTGGGACGACTTGCCTGTGCAGAGGAGACGTCCTTAAAGCAGCAGCTAACACAAACACAGTGTGATGTCTGACAGAAGCCTGGTACCTGAGACAGACATCAGCATGTTGTTCATGACGTAAAGCCAGGTACACCTCTGAGGTAACAGCTGTGGACACACAAACACAAACCAGTCCACTGAACGCTGGGTTTGATTACTCTGGCTTTGTCCAGTACAGGATGTGGGAAACAAAAACCTGAATTAAAGAACTGAAAGTTAATTAAAAAACAAAGTGATAGTAGTCAAACTGAAGTTTTAATGGAACAAAATGCAGTTTTAAAGCAAACTAATTCAGATTCAAATCATTAAATTCAGCTTCAATTTTGTGAAACTAATTTTCAAACTAATAAATTTNGCCATATGCATTCATAAATGAACCCAGCAGCAGGAACCAAAGAGGCGTGGAGCAGATCTCAGCTCAGTTGAAGTGGAGCACAACATATTTATTGTGACTGGCTTCAAACTGAATAAACTTATGGTTCAATATATTTTTTGAAACTAACTACACAGTTTCTGTTCTGTGTCACCTTTAATATTCCCTCAGTAAGACATCTGTGTATTAATCCTGCAGTCGCTCACTGACATCTGCCTCCTATCAAACAAAAAAACTATGAACTCATTTCAGTGATCCTGTGGTTCAATATTTTATTAAACCACTACAAAGTTATTGTTCCATGTCATGTTTAATATTCCCTTGGTAATAAATCTGTTTGTTGGTTAATCCTGTGGTCATTCACTGATGTCATCAGTTCGTTATCATTTTCTGAGCAGCAGAAACGCAGGTTGTACCTCTGTTGGTGGCTCAGAGGTGGGCTCTTTTTACCTCCCTTGCTGCTCCTGTGTTTTTTCTGAATGATCCGAGGAGGACAGTTAGTCCTGGACTAAGCTGTCTTATGAATGAGGATTCTGTGTCTTAAAGAACCACTTCTGACCTGAAGCAGGGATCTGTGTTGACTACAACACAAAATATGTTTGTTGTGTGATGATAAAAGAC